TGGCTGCCGTGGCCTGTCTTGCTTGCTGAGCCTCCATTCATACATCCGCCCTTGCCCTTCAGAGTGCGACTAAGGGGGACGGCCCCACCAGGGAGCTGGTAGGCAGCTCAGACCCTCAGCTTAGACTCAGCACGCCCATGCAGGCCAACATTCGAAAGCGCGGCTTTAAACCCATGCATATTCTTTGGGCTGGGCATTTAGTAGGTGCTCAATGAACCAGTTTCCTTATTTCCCCACCTTCCCATGAAGCTGGTCCCTTCTCTGGGTTTCTACAGCACTATCTGTAGTCTTCTGAAATCATTAGCAGGTTGATACGTGACCATTGGCTTATAATTGATCCCTTCCTGGGTTCTGGATCAGAAGCACTCTTTTTGCCCCCATCTCAGACCTGCTGAGTTAGAATCTTTGAGGGTGGGGCCAACATTTACACTTTATCCAACTCCCTAGTTGGTTCTTTGTACCCAAAGTTGGAGAGCCGAGAGACCCCGTGTTGGCCTGTGGGCTCTCTCAAGGCAAGATGAGGGTTAACAGTGAGACACCTGCCTCAGGTGAAAATGAAGTTGATTTTATTCATTTAACAAAAACATACTGGGAGCTAACTAAGTGGTGGGTGTTTTGCAAAAACTTAAAAATAGCACATCATATAAACACATCATAAAAACAGCCACACAATCAAATATTTGTGACATGCATTCATAGTTTAAAAAGCACTCTTCCATCTGTCATCTTAACAACTCGGTGTTGGCAGAGCCAGGACTCGGAGCTGCACCTTCATGCCACTGGCCTGGGCTGCCCCTGTGCTCCTATCCTATTCCAGGGGCAGAGGAAGGGGAGGGAGGCCTCATGTGAAGGTTGCCTGCATGGGCACAGTGAAGGGCCTCATAGAGAAGGAGAAGCCCATCACTCATTTTGGGAGAAGACAGAAGATGAGGGCACGTTTCTCTGCAGATGTGCCTTCCACACGTGGGACTTATAAGAGGGAGGCATTTTGTTCCCACACTTCAGAGTGTTGGTTGTCCCCCTACAAGGCTGAAATGGCTGCACCGTGGCCTTGGGATGGAAAGTGACCCTCCTCCAGAGAGGGGAATGGAGGCCACAGACGGAGGTAGCGGAATGCTGGCAGGAAACGGTGTAGGACCGCAGTGAGTCTCCTAAAACACTAAAACATACCTACAACGACCCCGAAATCATAACAGCGTCACCATTCTCTGCATCTGACTGGGCTCAGGAAAGTCCCTAATTTAGTCCTGTTCCCAGGAGAAACCCAGACAAATCCATCTTTCTTTTAATAACCTTTAGTCCAGATTAACCTGAAATTGTGTCCTCTAAAACTTCTTATTGTCCCGTGGTGTCACTCCTAAAATTGATCTGCAAGTCTGTTCCCACCACCAGCAAAGTGCCCATCAGCGGATTCTTACCTGCATCACCCAGAATAGGGCGACCGGCAAGGGAAAGACTTGGAACACCTACATCCTCACTCCCTGAACTCTGGGTGCATGGTAATCGCTAGGTCACCAAGTTCCACAGCAATCTGTAGTAACTGGGTACATAAGGCATTAGCAGAATTCTGTCACGGACGGCAAAGGAGAGGGTTTTCCAGTCGTGATATGAGTGTTTGCCAAAGTCAAATTAAGAAAACGGTCTATTATATTTAATCGTGGGGAACTGGGACAGCAAAATTATCCATCACATCCGTGCACCTCTTTCCAAACCACAGCTAAGGCCACACTTCCTGCAAACATGCTAAGTGGCCCAGTGGCTCTGTCTTCTCTCCCTCACAGCACGCCCCACCATGGCGTGGCCCGTGGCTCCAGGGTTTTCTGTCCTGAGGCGGCGCCTTGCAGGAAAGCGTTTGTTGATCGAACCTCTGCTCTGCTCTTGAGGCAGAAGGACACCACCATAGGAGTCACAAGCGTGTCATGCTGGCTGACAGCTGGGCCCTGGTCCCTTCCTTTCTTTTTTAACTTGCTGGGGTGTCTCATGTAGGGCTGTGGTTTCACCCCTGAAACTTCTAAGAGGCAGCTCCCCACTTCTCTCCTCGTTCTATCTCCTTCCACCTTTGTCACATATGAGGGAGAGGCCAGGGCCACCGTCTCTGAATGGAGGTGAGCTCATCGCTTGTCCCAGGGTGATAGGGACAGTCAGTGTGAAAACGCTCTCCCACACAGAGCCCCTTTGACTGGGACGCTGGCGGCCATCTCTCACGGCAGGTGCTGTCCCACTGGGCATGTGCCTCCTGACAGACCCCTCTGCCGGTGGTGCCCTTGACGATCCGGCATCACGGCCAAGTGGGCTTGTCCCTGCCCTGGTGCCCACACTCTCAAACAGCTCCACACGTGTTCGCCTCACCCCTGGTCCCGGAAGCCCGCTGGCCTCACGCCAGGGCCGGCCTGCACCCTCCCCTGCGGTCTGTCCCAGCGAGGCCCAGCCTAAGGCAGCGGCAGCAAGGGCGGCTGGGCCCACAGCCCCTCGGGGACTGCAGGCGGCGCCAGGCGGTGGCTCCTCCCCCCGGGGCACCAGCAGGGCTGAACATCCACTGCACAGCGGGCATAACTTAGGTCACTGTCTGTGCTTCTGGCCATATCCTGTTAAATCACTTGGCGTCTTCAGCTTCACTATCCCACTGGATTAGTAACTGGAATGTGAGCATTGGATAGCATATAGCTTCTGTGATACCTGGATGTTTCGTTTGGGTGTCCACATGGCTCCCTAGGTCCGGTGGGCAGGCTCACCCTCCCGGAGCACCCAGAGGGCCATGAGCTATACCCCGCCCCTCACGTCAACACTGTGTCCTCCAGTGCCCTCCCCTTCATGGCCTCGGATAAGGAGACTGTCATCATGAGGAGCAGACACACGCGGCCAGCTGTCAGCACCTCTCATTGGTGGTGGCCTCAGGAGCCCCAGCTACCTGGGAGACAAGGAAGCCTCTGATGCCAGCTGTGTGGCGCCCCCTCGTGGCCAAACTCACAAAGCTCTCCAAGTGTATCACCGCGCTTTGTGGCTGCGGAAGCAGGACAGAGCTGGGCACATAAAGAGTCAGGGGGCTATCCTTCGCTGCGTTACCCCACACCCACCTGCTCCCCACCAGCCTGGGGCTTGCTCGTGCCAGCAATTCCTCACCAGGGACAGTATCCAGGACATCTACTTCCATTCTTTCTATCAATATCCTTGCAAAGGGTAGAGAAAACATACGGACTTGTTCATACTAAAGTGTTACTGGCTTAGCTTAAGGATATGCATTTTAGAGATGTGTATTTTAAGAATATTTCGGCACCACTTAACCCACCCTCCCCCAGGAGCCTCTAACCATGCAGACAAGGAAGGTGGGAAGAGGAAAGCTTCCCTCAGCCCACCTCAAGGTCTGCTCAGCCCTGTGACCAAATGGCCATTGCTGACTCAGTGACTATAGCTTCAGACTTCCGTGTGCTGCCTCTGTCTTACACCGTGTGCCCATATCCCCCTGCCACCTGATTTCCACTGAACATTAGAAAACTAAACTCTCAGGGTGCCTGGTTGCCTCAGTCGGTTGAGTGTCTGCCTTCGGCTTAGGTCATGATCTCGGGGTCCTGGGATCGAGCCCCGAGTCAAGCTCCCTGCTCAGCGGGGAATCTGCTTGTCCCTCTGCCTCCCCACCCCGCTCATGGGTGCTCTCTCTCTCGAATAAATAAATAAAATCTTTAAGAAAAAAGAAAACTTGAGTAAGGCCATAAAAATGGTCAAATCCCAGAGCAAGGGTGTTGTTCTAAAAGCACTTCTGCATGTACACACTTTCTCTTTCACACATACATCGCTCACTGGCAATGTTTCACACACTTCCTTACGTGCTTTGTGATCAGCAGGCTGAGGGAGGCTGACGTGCCCACTCACTGACAGCGATACGCAGAATTCAGGGCAGACATAGTGGCTGGTCCCGGCCACCCGAGGACACTGCCCGGATCCTTCTCTGGGTCTGTGTGGCCACCCCAGCCTGCCTCTCAGTTCCTCATTGAGAGCTTGCTCTGAGCCTCCAGGATGTGAGACTAAGGAAAGAAGGGTCAAGGTAGTACTGAGCGGGGCCTCCAGTGAAGACTCTGTGCTCATCGTCCCACCGGCAGGTGGCTTTGCGGGGCGTGGTGGGTAGTCCTCCACGAGAACTGAGAGTGAGCTATGGAGCAGGGGAGGGGTCTGCACATTGTAGTGGGACGGTGTATTCATGGCCCCATGATTGTAAGGGCAGATTCTTCTGATTATGTCACTGGTTTTGTGTGTGAGGAGCCGTGACCTCATGTTGTCACATTCTGTAACAGCCCTTTCTCTTAAGATAAGGAAGCCACCTGCTGGGCAAAGAGGTCTTATCAGGATGTTTCTCACTGAGGGAAGTTGCCTTCACTGGGGAGCTGCCCTTGGCTCTGGGACAAGCGGTCCTTCCCGCCTGCAAAGAACTTTCTCAGGGAATAAATGTGACACGCACACATACACACTGTGTGGTACAAATAATTCTGCAGAGGAAAGTTTGCATACAGTGCTGCCCAGGGTTTCCAAACAAAGATGTGCAGGATACATGGGCTTCGGCTATATAAACCCAGGGGTTGAGGGAGCTAATCTCAGGAAGCCTGATGTAGAATCATTTCACTGCCTGCTCGGGTAAAAAGAAGCCAGTTGTGTTGACTACTGGTTCCTGTGGCACAGCAAGTGAAGTCCCCATCCGGATGGCCCTGCCATGGCGGGGGGTACGTTGTTGGGAAGGGCCCCCCACAGCATCCTCTCCCGGGAATGGTGCCTTCGGGCCTGCCCCCGGGCCTCCTGGGTCTGTTCTGGGTACTTGTGCCAGGTTTGGGGAAAGAAAGGAAAATAAGAGTTGGAGAAACTTTCAGTCTTAGCTCTGTTTTCTTTCTTTAACCAGCTTTACAAGATTTTGTTTAAAGTTTCTAAATAAGATTATATTTCTCTCCCTGCTCACTAACAACAAGGGCATTTAGGAGTATTAACCCACTGGATTTCAATTCTGTGTGTCTTTCCAGAAAGAGAAGAAGAGTGGGCTGCTGAAGCTTCTCGCTGGGGCATCCACCAAGAAGAAATCTCGCTCCCCACCGTCCATCTCTCCAACCCACGACCCCCAGGTGGCAGTGGACACCTCACTCCAGGGTGCAGTGGGGCCCGAAGTGTCCTCGCTGTCCATCCACGGCAGGGCAGGGTCCTGCCCCATAGAGAGCGAGATGCAAGGTGCCGTGGGCATGGAACCACTGCACAGAAAGGCGGGCTCCTTGGATCTGAACTTCTCCTCATCCCCCTCCAGGCAAGCACCTCTCTCCATGGCTGCCATTCGTCCTGAGCCCAAGCCTTTGTCCAGGGAGAGGTAAGGGGGGGAAGGTGGGCTCATGTCCTCTGGCACCTTGGTGTGGGCTTGTCTCTGAGATTGGAGCCATTGAGGGAAATAGTGACAGTGGGGATGTTTGGCAGATTAAATTTACCAAACATCCCTCTTACCCACATCTACTAGGCTCCTGAGCTTGGATGGTGAGCATCAGATAAAACACATTTGGGAATGAAGGGGAGCATATTTCACATTCTGAATCCACCTGGGTCCTGAGTTTGGGATTTGCAAGGGATTCATCAGGACATTTGGCAGAACTGATGGGGTACTGAGCCCAAAGAGTGAGCGATGATGTTAGTGAGGGACTATGTCCCCTCAGCCCTGTGGGAAACCTGGAGTGAACCCCTGGGCTGAGTCCCATGGTCTTTGTGCCCTACCCTGGAAGCAGCTGTGACATCTTAAAATTATAAAGCATTACTCCCAAATTGGCTTCAATGTATATAGTCTATTGGGTTGAACTATACAAAATTGCCAATATTCATTTGTTCTTTACCAAAACCAGAAATTTCACAGTTAAGCCTAGAGTTTTACAGAGCAATAAACTGAATCTACCGGGGAGGGGGCCTCGGGTGCCAGAACTTTACAAGGGGTCAGAGGCTGGGCCCATTTGAGGTAGGCCTTCGAGAGCTTCGAATAAGGGTTGGAAGGCACTGCAGAGAGAGGGGATTGTGTCAAATTAGGACAGTGGTGAAGTCCTTTCCCTTCTAAGTGCCTTCTCGTTGGAACGCTGCTTAAATAGTAAAAATGTGAGCAGTCTCCTGAGAAAGCAATTTTGGCGTTTCTGTCAGAATCCCCCCTCCCATCAGCCACACTGCCTGACGGCCTGCTCTTTCCCGTGCCCCCCAGTGCCTGAAGCCTAGGAGGCCACCACTGTCCTGAGCACCCACTAACCTCTGGCGCCAAGGCAGAGCTAGCTGAGGTTCCGCCTAAATGGGGGATGACAAACCTTTTCTGTCAAGGCCCAGATGGTAAAGTCTGCAGACGTTGTAGGTCATAAGGTCTCTGTCACAACTACTCAGCTCTGCCATGACAGTGTGGGGGCAGCCATCGACAAAGCGGAAATGATGGGTGTGGGTGTTCCAGTAAAACTCTACTGACGGACACCAAAATTTAAATTTCATGTGATTTTCTTGTGTCATAAAATAGTCTTATTTTGATGTGGTTTTCAACCATTTAAAAAAATAACCGTATTCTTAGTCTGGGACCACACAAATCAGCCACAGGCCAGTTTGCCAAGACGTACCCAGACGATGGGCTATAGCTGGGCTGATGCTGTGGTGCTGAGACCCAGGGCCACAGAGAATACAATCTCCCCAGGTGGTGGAGGGGCAGCGCGAGCTGGTTATGGATTTCTAATCAAGCGTTGTAGTGTAAGTCCGCATTTATGCTTGCATTTAGAATGATAGCTCACATTTTTGGAGTGACATTCAGACAGTCACCAACCAGTATGGATTCCAGCCATAAACACCTAGAACAGCCATGCTGTGCATGCAGCTTACCATCTGTTGACACTGTTCTCGGTGTCTTGTGTGTGTTACCTCAGTCCTTGCAAGAACCCTACAAATTCGGTATCCCATCTTATAGAGGAAGAAACAGAGGTTATTAAAAGGCTGTCACTTGCTCAAGATCACACAGTGAGTTAGCAGCCAAGCCAGGGCTTGAAGCCAATTTGGGGGTAATGCTTTATAATTTTAAGATGTCACAGCTGCTTCCAGGGTAGGGCACAAAGGCCATGGGACTCAGCCCAGGGGTCCACTCCAGGTTTCCCACAGGTCTTTGCTGGCTCAGAGCCTCAGAGCCTGGGCTTTGACCCACTCAGAGGAGCATGGTCAGCAGTCCCCCCAATGTACAGTCTGCCCACCAAGGAACCTGGGTGTCTCTGGCCTGCCAGGATATCAGCATATGCTTCTGGGTCCTCCACAGTTGATCACCAACCCCCTGTCTGTCCAAGATATACCTGCTGTTCAGACTCACTCAGTGCAGAACCCATTACCATGAAGTGCCTCCCCTATAGCAAACCCCCAAGCCCTGCGGAGACTGGGTTCACACCTTACCACACCACACCTGATACCACACCGCACACATACCACACACATGCACACACATACCCCCAAACACACACACCACACACGTACATGTACCACACATACCACATGCCACACACATACCTCACACACATCTCACACAAATACCACACACACACACACACACTTTCTCTCTCTTCCTCTATTCCCCTCCAGGGAGCCTCCTCCAACTTTCTGTAACTCTTTCATGTCAGAACCTTCTTCCTTCCACAAGGCCAACCCCCAGTGGCCTGTGATTTCTGAATGTGGTTCCCAGTCCTTTGCCTCAGGTCACAAAGTTGGTGACTCCTGAGAATGACAGACCTAGATATTTCAAAGCTGCTCTCATATCTCCCCTAGGTTTCTATTCTCCTCAGATCCCTTGACTTCCAGACTCCTTCATAAAAGGTCTTAAAAGACCCTATTCTAAAAAATCATGGGAGTCTATGATTAACTAGAAAGTTCAGAGAATTACTCTCATTCTGTGAATATTCCATCTAATCAGGGCTTATTGTACCCAGAGACTCGTGGCACCCTGCTTGTCCCCAGCACGTTGTGTAGCTCATTAGTGATGAGAGTTTTCAAAATACAGCCTGAAACCAAGCTACTGCCTAATGAGCCCCCAAATGCCCCCTCCCCTCACCCTGTGCAGTCCATAGGCTGCCTCATGTCCTGGGGAGCCCCAGCAGGTTGGAGCAAGGGTTTAACAATGGAAAGGCTTAGTCTCTGGGCTGAGGCAGCTCCAGAAAGCACTTGGCCGAGGGCCTCTGCAGGCTCGTGAATAAAACTTAGCCCGCAGCTGGAGGGGAGCAGCTGTAACAAGACTCTCTGCTGCGGAGGCCCGGGCATTCTCTCTGCAGGCCACAGACTGGCAGAGAGCCTGCTGTGTGCAAGGCCACTTTACAGGTTCAAAGGTGGGAGAAAGGCAAAGGGCAGCTGGGGCGGAGACTCCAGGAGGTTCCTACCACCAGCATGCTGAGGAGGGGGCCTCTCTCACCCTGAGCAGAGCGGCGGGGCTGTGGTTGCTGCATGTCCGGGGGGTCTCCTATGTACAAAATCCCTCGGATCTCTCCATTTCCCTCCTGAGGATTTGGGAAGACACTGGGAGCTGCTCTCCAAACTGCTCACAGAGGAAGGAAGTTTGGGCTGGAGGGAGGCCGCCCAGGGAAGCGAACCACGGAGAACTCCCCCCAGGCCCACCGGGCCAGGCCTGCAACCCAGCTCACTAGAGGCAGCCCTGGCTCTCAGGAGACCTGTAGGAGCCAAACCCACAGGCCTAATGTGTAAACCAGAGTGCCCATTACTAACCCTTGCTCGGGAACCTACACTTAGGTAGATATATTAAGCCCTATGGACGGTGTATGCAGGGAGCCACATTTCTGGAAGGTACTTGGGTACACATAAGAGCAGGGTAGTTATGGGATCCAGTAACACTGTCTAATGCCCTGTCTCCCTGGCGGGAATATGCCGACCCTGGGCAGGTGCAGTGGAGTTCCTGGGCCAGCCGCCCCACCGCACGTCCTCTAGATGCCTGCCTCCTGGCTCTCTTACCCCTCGGGGAGGTTGCAGAGTGGCTCTGAGAAACAGGCGCACTGACCACTTATCAGCCAGTTCACCCAAATAGGTGCCTTCATTCTTTGAGTCCCCGTTCCCCCATCTACAAAGTGAGGATATACCTATCTGATAGTTACAATATTTGTAAAACACATAAATCAATACTTGGGAAATTATGAATACATGAAAAAGAACAATAGTAATATATGAAATGATGTCTGTAATAATATGAAGTGGTGTGACATATAGAAGAATGATCTGATGATGCCTCCAGGGCTGCCTGGCACCTCCTCCCCCACTTTTGATTGGCAACATTTTTTTTCCCACATGTTCACATGGTCCATGTATTTATCCTCACCTCTTACCGGCCTGTGAATTGTTTGGCTTTGTTAGGATTTAAAAGTTTTTTGGCTTTGATCTGTTATGTGTCATGGTAGGCAGAGTAATGGCTTCCCGAAGATGTCTATGCCCTAATCCCCAAAACCATGACTTTGTGGCCTCACATGGTCTCAAGGAATGAAAGCTGCAGGCATAATAAAGGTTGTTAACCAGCTGACTCTAAAATGGAGAGATTATCTTGGATTATCCGGGCAGGCCCAGGGTGACCACAGAGTCCTTGTAAGTAAAAAAGGAAGGCAGCAGAGAGGGTCGAGGTGATACAGTGTGAGGACTCAAAGATGCAGGAAGGAGTGTCCAGCCAGGAATGTGGGCAGCTTCTAGGAGCTGCAAAAGACAGGGGAGTGCATTCCCCCTTGAGCCTCCAGAAGGAATGCATCCTGTGAGACTCTGTTAGATGTCTGACTTAAAGAACTGTGAGTACGAAACTTGTGCTGAATTATTGTGGAAACTTGTTACAGCAGCAATAGGCAACTAATACATGTGTTGGTATTAGAGTTCAGTGTGCAGGATATAGACGTACGCTTACTTCCAAGTTCCTAGAGGGACCTTGCTCTGCAATGATCGCATTCTACCAGGTTGGGGATTGTACATCATCAACAGCACTAAAGCAAGTGCTCTGAAGAGCCTGCCACTCAGAGGCCCCCTTGGGAGCCCTGCTGTCAGGAGGGGGCAGATGACACAGGAGGAGGACACGCCACACCGCACATGTAAAGTTAATTGCAATATGCAATGGTAGGAATTCATTCTGATTTTGAGCCTTCTGATTTCCTGAGTTTTATGTCTGAAAATGATCTGTGGTTGACATAACCTTACCTCAGCACAGGGAAGTCTCTTCTGATTTATGACGCCACGGTCACAACATGGGAGTAGCTGCTGTCCTTAACTGTTCATTTGGCCCTTTGTGTCTATAACAGGGAGTATCAATTACTTTCAAGCAGCAGGAAAAATAGCTCAGAGTCTTGGAATGATCTGGACAGGAACATTAAATCCTCGACTCTTATAGAAAAGGCCCACATCATCCAGCTGGGCTCATTAAGTCATTGAATTGCTCAGAAGCACCAAATTACTTTCTTTCTAGCAAATTATATTTTCAGAGTTGCTTGTTGCTTCACATCTGGCAGTTGAGGCAAAAGCCAAAACTTGTGTTTGAAGTCTGAGAAATCATCTCACTCTTTGCCTTTTCTTCCTCGGGGAAGAGAAGGCGGCGGGTGTTTGGAGAAGGGTGGAGGGGGGCAGAGAGCCACAGGTAGGGTCTGCACTGGTCCCTGCCGTCGCACACACAGCCTGGGTGCCGGACCCACAGATCTCACAAACACGGAGGCCAGCTGTCCTTTGGGGAGTGGCTGCAGGCAGCCATTTACAGAGATTCTGGGCTGGGAGGAGGGCAAGAGGCATACTGTCCTTTCTCTCCTCCTTTATACCCCAAAAGCCAGTGTCTGAAGCCCAGGGACAGCAGTAGGAATGGGCCCAACCCTCCCACACCTGCAGCCATTCCAAAGCACTTAGCTTGCCTGGCTGGCCCTGCGCCCTCAGCAATAGGAGCCCTGCTGGCCTGCCAACGTGGCCTCAGGAGCCACCTTGCTCTCTGCCCTCTGCTTTCACAGCCTGGAACAAGCTGGGACCGGGAGCTTCCCAGAGTGGGGCCTGGGTCTTCTCTGCCTGTGCATCATCCCCCAGCCTCCAGAGTACCAACCCCAGGTGCCCCAAACCATGGCTTCCCTGTCCTGATCCCAGTGGGCCAGCGCCCCAGGCCCTATGCACAGGTGGCTGAAGAATGAAGACTTCCTCAGCACTTTCACCTTGACTCCCAGACAGCAGCAAGCAAACATTCGTCCATAGAACTTGTTGAAAATCCACACTCCTGGACCCATTCCACAGAGATTCATTAGTGGGTCCAGGATAGAGCCAGGGATCTGACCCAGAGGTCGTGGAGTCTATGGCCACACTTTAAGAAAAGCTGATGTAGGATCTCTTTGGTTTATAATGTCCTGCTTTCTCCCAAACCAGAATATACAGGTCAGAGGCTCCACGTAGAGAGCCCCGTGACAGTCCTCAGGACAGCCAGCTGCAGGGACACCTGGGTGATCTCCTTCAGGGGCCATTTGTGTGGCTGTGGCCGATGGGGGAGGCAGAACCCAGGCGACAGGCCTTCACAGCCGGCAGCCCAAGGGAGATTGAGGGTGAAGGGACCACAGCCCAGGCACTGCCAGGGAGGAGAGAGCAGCGGGACAGTGCCTCCCAGGGGTGGGCCCTATTGTCCAGGTCAAGCCCTGGGCCTCCAAGGTCCAGCATCACCAACCCTCCAATAAATGGCTCCTCCCCTGGCTCATTTCCTCTTCAGGGGTGACCCAGTCCCTGAAGGCCATCGGTCATTCTGCTCCTGGGCCATTAGTCTGGCTGACATTCCTCTCCTGTGGCCAATGGCAGGCAGCACGAGTTGAAGTGTACGCTCTGGGCTGGGCAGAGGGGCTGTTTGCTGGGTGGTTGCCGTGGAGCCGCAGGTCCAGCTACACGCACTGCCCACCTCCGCACCAGCAGCCAAAGCTGCCCTCCTCCAGTTGCAGCACCCTCAGGCGAGGCCACAGTCCAAGCTGGGCCAGAGGGCGGGACTGCATTTCAGGCAGGCACATTCCAGCTGTATAGATCGGGGTCCACAAGGACAGCACGGGGAAATTATTCTTTTTAATTTTAATAAACAATAAAAAGTTTGTTTAAAAATTAAAATCAAAGTAGAAAATTTTAAAAGTGGGGGAAGTAGCCCCAAATTATAATAATTTACACCGGATGGAAAAGGAAAGGCAGAGAGAAGAGCAGGCCCTGGGGGTCATCCTCCAGCCTAGGGTCAGGCTCACCCAATGTGGTGTTTGTTTCCCCCCCAGGTACCGCGTGGTGGTCTCGTATCCTCCCCAGAGTGAGGCGGAGATTGAGCTGAAGGAAGGCGACATTGTCTTTGTGCACAAGAAGCGGGAGGACGGCTGGTACAAGGGGACCCTGCAGAGGAACGGCCGCACCGGTCTCTTCCCGGGCAGCTTTGTGGAGAGCTTCTGAAGACACGCTCCCCACACCCCGCTCCCCAGGCACGAAGGCTCCCCGAGATCCCCAGGGGGCAGAGAGAGGCAGTCAGGCCACGGAGGGTCCAGGTCCCTTTCGAGGCTCCTGGCGAGGCCACCCTGGACGGGGACGGGAGCCGGGGGATGTGGAGGTCGTGCCTTTGCCCACAACCCCCCACCAAGAGCACACCCTGGGGGTCATTCTCCGACAAAATGCTTCCCTCTGCGTAAACTGTAAAGAAATATCTTTGAAAAGAGAAGCTGCTGATGTGGGTCGATTGGCTCTGTGACGGACTGCTAAGCGGCAGCATTCTTGTTCGCTGCCCACACGAGCCTGGAAGCTGCGGAAGGGCTGCAGGGCTTGGGTGGCGGGCACGGGGCCCAGGGCATTGGCAGAATGTCTTGACGAGCTGCCCTGGGCTTCTCGTGGGGGGTCCAGATTGCTCCATCACCTCTCTATATACCTCAGTCGCCTGCCACCTGGCTACTCAGCAGGGGTGTTCCCGGCGCAGGGCCTTGGCCGGGTGGCCAGCGTCCCTGGGGCAGCCCAGCACGCAGCTCCTGTTGGAGGCACGAGATCGCACTTGGCTTCGTCTCCTACCCATATTATAAGCCACACGTTTCGTTTTGCCGCCACTGTCCCTTTGCATTGCTTCTTTCTTACAACATCTTTTTAAAGTAAAGCTGTTAGACTTTCTATATTTCTAATAGGTCATACATTGCCTATTTTTCATACATCTGGTGCTGCCTTTTTGTAAAACCAGTTTTGACTTGGTTGAGCTTGAAAGAAAAAAATGAGCTGATATCAAGTGGGCAGAATTTTTATATGTACCATGTGAATTTTGGAAAACTCTGAAAAGCCCACATACTTAACATCAGTGCTGGCTACTGGTCTGTGAAGAAGAGGGAACCCATTTAAGTGGTTGGAGGGAGTTTGGAAAAAGCCAATTTCTTTAAACCCTTACCAAAGCCCCATGCTATGTCTAGACAGTGGTAATTATTATTCAAGAACTGGAACCATTTCAAGGAAGGGTCACTATAATTGCCTTTTGTGTGGCAGTAAAAAGAACATGAAGGTCAACCCCAGCCTAGGAAGGCAGAATTTTCCTTTTATTGCTTTAGAGAAAATGACTAATGCTAATGCATTATCAAAATATGATTTCTCAGTACTGAAACGTGCAGTTTTCAACCACAGTTCAGATTTACCACCTTGTGACGGTTTTGTCTTTTTTTTTTTTTTTAAATAAATGCTTCCCTATCAGGCAGTACAAATGTTGGTGTAGAGACTGGAAGTACAACGAGGAGAAAAGGGATTTGAGCCATTGCTGCAGACTTGCAGAATCCAAGGGAGCCGGGAGGAGAGAGAGGGGAAGGGGCACCTTTGATCCTGGGACCTTGCCCTGGACAGGGTCCATCAAGGCCTCTTCCTGAGCCCAGCAGCCCAGCCCTCCCACAGACACGGACGGGAGAAGCCCTGTCATGAGGCAGTCTCGTTCTCAAGAGAGTCAGACCTTAAGGATAGGAATGTTCCTATCAGCTCAAAGTCACAATTCATAAGCCCCTTCTCTCTTTACTGTTATAAAGCCACTCAAGTTTAAATTAGGCTGACTAAATTAGCCTTTGGTAACATAGGATCGCCTGGTTTTCAAAGATGCAACAAAATCCAGAAACACATTCCCTCGCTTGATGCCAAATACCCTCTGAAATACCAAATACTTATTTTCAGAGTTCCTAATTTGGGGATGTGACTTGGCTATCTGTTACCTCCAGGTGGCTACCATGCTGGTGGGATCACGCCTAGACAAAGGCTCTTCTCCTCTCTCCAGATGATCATAGATTTAAGAGACTTGAGAAATTTGTTCTGAATCAAAGAAACACAAAATCCAGCTTAAACCCAGGGAGCCCTGGACATGAGTTAATGACAACCAGAAGGTATCCACTTACCATTGATGCCAAATGAGTCACCTGCCAGGCACAAAAATCATGTGCGTGTTTAAAATAATGCCATCACCAAAAATGTGCATGGATTAACATGCTGAGTGAGACACGGGTTCCCCAGGGAGACCAGAACTAACTCAAATCCCCAGATAATAAGGAAATCTTTTTTAAAAACATGAAGGCAGTTACCAAGCAACAAAACAGACTAACTTGGACCTTATTTCCTCTCCCAGCCACCGCCCACACGATGCTCGTGGTAGGTGGGAATCGCTGAACAGCCTAGTGAGGCAGCAGCAACCAGCACCCCTCACGGCAGAGAGCTGGGGCCAGCGTCCAGTGCCTTTGCAAGGCATCAGCTGGCCTCTCTTGTGGCAGAGTTGGGGCAGGCATTGGTATGACCTCGGGAAGGAAACAAGGCCATGCGCCAACCATCACCAGGACATCCTTTGGGGTGGGACTCCCAGACAGCAGGGAAGTGCACGACCAGCCCCCACGCTCTGGGCTGCTGGCAAACACATCCCGCCAAATCCATCAGCCTTCGTGACCATTTAGCCCACAGACAAGAGCAGGAGCAGAATTAGACCCTTTGGGCCAACTTGCCCTGAAGAACAAACTCATTTTGGCTACTAAGATGAAACCAGCACTTTGTCTGAACCCTCACATTCTACCCTGGTCCAGCAACTTACACTTCTTGGTTATCAGTGGCATTTGGCAGCCAAGGTGACTCACTTTGAGGAATGCAGTAGAGTCCATAGCCACCACTGAGGTCAGCGGACACTGAAATGACGGGGATATCTGGTCCACCAAAGGGCCTCAGAAGTGGAGTGGGGAGACCGTGGGCAAACAATTCCCTGGCAGCCTCACTGTGTGAATACCAGGCTCTGGCACCCCAAACAAGCTCAGCTGCCTGGCTGGGAAGTTCTTTGTACTTTGCACAGTTCACACACACACATACACACACACACCAATGATTTTGTTATACACAAATGTCAGCGTGTGATTTTGGAAGAACTGACAGTGACGACAAACTATGATGCCTGTGTTTCTGAGTCTTTAAATAAAAATGAACATGGAGAGGTCTTGTGTCTGGATGATGCGAGCAGTGAGGTTGGGGGCAGAGGCCGAGTGGGCCCAAGCAGAAATGCCCAAGTGGATAGGAGCATGAGGGGGCAGGTGCCACACTGTGTCCCTGCTGGCCAGCACAATGGCTCACACACCTACCACCACAGAATGCTTCCGTGTGGGGAGCACAGGGTGGTGGGTCATTAAGGAGACCAGGAATGTCAAGACAGCCATATCCAGCACATGCCAGAGATCCACTGGTTGGGCCGTAAGTATTGAGCCACAGGCTGGTCAGTGTGCAGAACCTCTAGCTCTCCTCCAGTGGCTCGTTTGCCTGGAAGGTAGAGTGACTTTTTCCAGATGACTCACATTCCTTTCTTGTGGGAAAGTGTTTTGTGCCAGCAGCAAAGTCCATCAATTCCAGAAGTGCCTGGAATTGACCTCCCAGACCAGCACACTCATCGCCCTGCCCTTGTCTGTTTGGCCCTCACAGTGCCCGAGCTGTGGGGAGCTATTCTCTGGAGTACAAGGAGGAGAGGGCCTGGAATCCACCAACAGCGGGGACTTCAGGAGGCCACCAACCTCCAGAAAAGTGGGCCTGTCTCCACATCAGCCAGATAGACCCATGCCTGGCAGAGGGCCACCCTACCAGCCTGAAACATGTCAGGGTGCTTCTTGAAATAGGATCTCACTGCCTTCATAGCCAAGACACCCACCAAGTCTTTGACTATCACGCATATCCTTGAGCTGGAAGAAAGCTCAGCAAGGAGCCATTTTACTCTTCTACAAAAATTAAGTGAATGTGTATAAACACAGGTTATGGATGGGGAGTATAGTGAGGGCCCAACACCATAATAAGGAAGTATGCTACACGCTCACTTAACCCTCCCGCCCTCAGTGAAAGATACTCTTATTCTCATTTGCTAGATGAGCAATCTTCACCTTAGAAGAGGTGAAATGAATTGCCTCAGGTCACACTGCTCACAGAACATTATGACCCAGATTCAAGCCTATTGTAGCTCCACAAGCTGGACCCTAAACCTTCTACAGAAATAAAATGTCAAGAATGAGAGCATGAAAAGATGGGGACAGAGAACATGTAGGCAGTGCCCATCACAATATATCAAGAAAGGGTGCCCGGTCGGACAACGCACAAATCTGTGGGGCAGGGGTACCCTGACTATAGAGGCAGATATGGCAACCTCGCAGGATCTGGTGCCATTTTACATTCAAGTCACATAACTTCTGTGTTCTGAACCCATGCTCACTAAGCAAACAGAACTAACTTCCTTTTGCTGGTTTAACACCCACAGGGAGAACAGCATTCTATTCAAGGAAACTCGACCAGTCAGCCTGCATACTGGGCATTTGTCACCAGTCACCAGTAAGCTGAACCTTCAGCGGAGGGCTCAGGCCCTGTGGATTTTATGAGCAGGAGTCACATCTCTGCCTCTAACTTACAAGGTGGCATGTCTGCACTGGGAGAGCACTGGGTCTTCTTTCCCAGAGGAGAAGCTCCGCAGGCAGTCCATTTACTTTTCTTCATGAAGAGCCATACTGGCTGCTGCCGGGCAAGCTCCAGGGAGTAAGAGCGGCCAGCTGTCAGCAGAACTGCTAGGACAACTCACAACTGGCTGTTAACAAGATGGGCTAGTCTGAGAGAGATGCACAGAGTTGTGTGAAGACTCATGGAAGCGGGAGTCAAGCCTCTCGGATGCCTCCCTGTGAATCTCTGCTGAAACTGTGCTTTTTAGAGGGTGGGGGAGGCCAGGGCCTGCGGCCTTTCCAAATGAAGGGACTGACATACTATCCAAAATCTTTTCCTTATACTTGATTTACAAACACTATCTCCCTTCGTCCCCACAGCATCTCCTTGAAATGTGGTTCTTATTCTCATTTTATAGATGAAGAAATCAAGACTCTAAGAAATTCTATTAGCTCTGAGTTAAACGAGTGGCAGGGCCAAGACTTCTGACATCCAATCTCTGGCTCTTTACTGAATGCAGCAGAAATCCTAAAATGATGGTTGTAGCAGCCAACACTTACTCTGCTATCTGTTGGAACCACCTTCAGAGCTGGGCACTGCTGTCGTACTATTTATAGATGGAGAACCAGAGGCAACACAAGACCCAATGCCTGGTGCAAGACCACACGCTAGTGCATGGGGGAGCTGTGGTTGAAAGAGGCTTGAATGCCAAAAGGAGTCTATGCTCAGTCCCATAGGCAGGGCAGCCATTGATGGTTATTAGCAGCCTGCTCTGAGCTGTGCCTGACAGAACACACTCTGGGGCCATACTAGAGGGAAGGAAGGACCAGAGCATCTCTAGTTCCCTTCCAATGTTGAGATAAATGTTTCTCCTCTCACTTAGACCTGACATGTGGAAGCAAGACACAGCATCCCCTCATAAAGCCTGTGCAGCTCAGAGAAAATGCTACAGCCTGAATCCCTCCCTCCCTAAGCGAGTTCCCACCACTGGCCTGGTCTCACAGACCCAGTCACCATCTTTGTGGATCTTATAAAGACCCTTATTGATTTGAACATGTTGGAGTTCTCATCTCTTTTTCAATTGGTATTACCCTTCCAAGTGGCTCTCTTAATCTCCCAAAGGAGGCTGCACTTGGTTGCCCACAAGGGAGTGCATCGTGGGCTTGTGAGCTGCAGGTGTCCTGATTTAGGTCAAGCTATTGTCATCCCAATATCCAAGGCTTGCCCTAATATGCTGAGGTCTGTCCCTCTGTGCCATTTTTCCAGAACCAGAATTGGACAACTTTTCATTTGTCCATGTTGACAGGTGCTAGCCATTGGCTCCTCTCAGAACTAGTCTTGTGCTCTACAAGATTAACTGACATGCTAAGGATTAAATCCCTGACACCCAAAAATGTTGATAGACTGTCATTAGTCATTATTTGAAAATGTCAGAAAACCAACTGGAATAAATAAAAAGAGGGAAATTCTTGACTCAAGTAACTGAAAAACCAAGGGCAACCATCTGGGATATGCGAAAATGATGGGGGGGTGGTTCTGGTTGTTACAATGACTAGGAAAACGTCCTTCATTTTGCTGGTGGGAACTGGAGATGGTAAACATCTTGCAATGTGTAGAATGTCCTGCCCAAAATACAAATTGTATATTTATTAAGAAGCTAGTTTAGGGGTGCCTAGGCGGTCAGTCAGTTAAGCGTCTGCCTTGGCTCAGGTCATGATCCTGGAGTCCCAGGGTCGAGTTGCACATGGGGCTCCCTGCTCAGTGGGGAGTCTGCTTCTCCCTCTGACCCTCCCCCTTCTCGTGCTCTCGCTCTCTCTCTCTCTCCCAAATAAATAAATAAAATCTTTAAAAAAGAAGAAGAAGAAACTAGTTTGGGTATATCTTACTTCAGGCACAGCGGGATCCAGGTACTCATATGCTCCTGGCTTTGCTGTCCTCCATGTTGGCTCCTTTCTCTCAGGCAGGTGCTCTCCACATCACTAGCAGGTTTGGGATGCCTAACACCTCAGCTATCCCCGCAGAAAGAGAGTTTCTCTTTCTCAGTGATCCCAGACAAAATCTTAGGATTGACCCCACTGGTTCAGACTGGGCCCATGCCTATCTCCCTGACTCGGCCATTGTGCAGAGGGCAGGAATTTGCTAACTGATGGGACCTGAGATAAAGGCTGTCCCTGAGCTCTCATCCAGCCAAACCACATGGATTGAAGATGGGGGCAAGAGGATGCCCTATAGTGCTGGTGGCAAAAGTGAAGGAGATTATGACTGACCAGCTAAAACCAGCAGATGCCCACTCCACAGGGCTATCCCCCACCCCAGGACACTGCCCCTAGAAACATCCTAGCAAAGTCTGAGAAAGTGGCCCATCAGAGAGACTGCACCATACTTCTGAAGGTGAGATATAAACACCAAATCTCAAAAAAGTCCCATAGGAAATACGACAGACTTGGACATAAACATGGAGTAAAATTCTCAGTTTGGAGGAAGTCACGTTCTTCAGTGCCCTAAAAAATAGAACCAGATGAAAGCCAGGAGGCTGAAAGGAGGCGTCATGGAGGAAGTGTACCCATCCAGGCACCTTGGCGGCCTCCAGTCTTCATCCATCACTCCCCGGGACATGCATGGCCAAGGGGCACTCACGGGTGCCAGGCTGCCCCTCCAGACAGGGTGAGGGAGGATGGAGTTTACAGTCTGGCAAGGAAGGCCAGTCTCGAATGAGTAACTAGAAGCATGAAAGGCCCTGTGGCTGAGGAGAACAGGGGTTGGTAGCACATGGCAGAGGGATCCAGCCTGCTCAAGGGTGAGATTCAAGCTGCTTCCTGCCTGGAGATTCTTGGCAAGAATGGGCAGTGCCAAGATAGCAGGGAAGAAGCACCCTCCTGCCCAGAAATTGGGTAAGCACATTTCTGCCAGACAAATCTGAGGATGTGGCCCATTTTATCACGGTCGTTTCAGGACATTTGCTCTGCATCTGTGCACCTTCTCCCCATCCCTCCCACTTGTACTCATTTATGCAACAGCTGTTTCCTAAGACTTCTTGTGCCAGGCACCAGCATCACGGAGAAGAATGTAGGCAAGATGATCCAGCTCAAGAGGCCAAGCATCCCCGGGAGCTTCAGCCTGGTGGGGCCCTGGTGGGTCAGTCAGAAAATATTGTGTTTGGTGCTATGGAAACAGGCGAGCAAATCCATGATGCCTGTGTTATCCTGCTGGGGCTGCTGTGACAGAGGGCCACAGAGTGGGTGGCATAAACAACAGACATTTATTTCCTCCCTCTTCTAGAGGCTGGAAGTCTGAGGTGTCAGCAGAGTGCTTTCTCCCTAGGCCTCTCTCCTTGGCTTCTAGATGGCCACCTTCTCTCTGTGCCTTCACATGGCCTTACTCTGTGTATGTCTGAGTCCAAATTTCTCATCTTATGAGGACATACTGGACCATGACCCACCCTCACAACCTCCTTTTAGCTTAATCACCTCTTTAAGGACCTGTCTCCAACCAAGTACAGTCACATATAAATTTGGGGGGACACAGCTCAG